TTTAGTCCCTTATTCATCAAGGGTAGCCACCGTGCAATGAATCGCCAACTATTCCAGCATATGTTTTACGTAGTGGATGCTCTTCCAGCTAAAATCCAGAACTGGGAAACACCCATACAGACTCATTCACACCCACACACACACACATACACACTCATACACTACGGCCAATTTAGTTAATCAATTCCCCTATAGCTCATGTGTTTGGACTGTGGGGGAAACAGGAGCACCCGGAGGAAACCCACGCTAACACAAGGAGAGCATGCAAACTCCATAGAGAAATGACAACTGACCCAGCCAGGAATCAAACCAGCGGCCTTCTTGCTGTGAGGCCACAGTGATAACCACTGAGCCGCCTAAAATTACTCAAACTGAAGTGAAAAACTTGAAATTAAACTGTTGCCGATCATGCATTTTTATCAAAAATCCTCGGTTGTGTTTTATTGCCGGTCTACCAGTGCATCCCTAGCTTTACTGGTATAACACTCTAATTGGAAAGTAAAACACTTTTAAATAAAGCTTATTAGTATTAAACAAAAACTACCAATCATAGAACGACTAAATAGTTAATACTTCTGCAAAAAATATATCATGTATAAAATGTGTGAGACATTTCATTGCATGTTAAATGGAGACCCAAAATAATGGCTGATAATTTACTCTCAGTAATTGAGTAAAAACAAAACCTATTTCATCCGACAGCACATCAATAAAAACAACACAGGCTCATCGTGAATATGTACCCCCATATACATCTCTGGAGAGTGTGAATTATGTAGCCAGAGCTACATTCGGCTGCATTTAGTCTGTTAAAACGAATGCGGTATGATGCTGCTGACGACTTCTGTTTCTTCTACTTTGCTACCAGTTGTCCGCTAAACTCCGTGTGGATGGCTTTTCTGCTGTTACCGGTTTGCTCAGTGGCTCTCCTGCAGACTTGAGATGCAGAGAAGAGTTGACTATGACGACGAGGTTCAAGACGAGCAAATAATGGTTCCAAAAAGCAGGTTAAACAAAAGGCAAAAAATAAAATAAACAAGTAAATAACAGGGTGAAAATGTGATAAGATCTGAAAGCCTGGTAAAAATCAGAGAGGGTTCTGGCTGCAGACCTGGTGCAGTGCAATCTGGGCTGCATCCAATGCTTTTTAATGGGCTCACCTAACCCCACCCCTAACCCTACCCCTCACAGTGACGTCACTTGCTCCATTTGAGTGCATTGTGTCTGACATTGCATCGCTGAGTGATGCAGTCTCAGCTTGCACCATAAAGGCTGCATCCAGATACTATTGAAATATCAGGCGGCCACAAGGGCTTTTCTTTTTCTCGATTGCTTTCGATCACACTGTTGGTTGGGTTTAGGGAAAGGGGGTTGGTTGGGGTTATAGGACAGTCAGGCCCCGTTTACACTAGTGCGTTTTAGTTTTAAAATGGTGTTTTAGATTAAAAACGATCCGCGTCCACACTGGTGTTTCACCTAGCGTATCTGAACATATCTCCGTCCACACTACGCCAACAAAAACGTATATCACGTGACCATTCGCGCACTCTGGGCATGCGCATTCTAGAATAAACAGGAAGCATGCGTCTCGCTCGGCATTTGGTTATTGTTAGTCTACAAACGCTGGTTGAACAATGAACGCGATGGCAAAGAAAGCAAGAGAGGTATTTTTGTGGACAGACAACGAGGTCGAGGTGTTACTAAACATAACAAAAGAATCACTGCACAAATGCGCCTAAAACAGACAATAGTGCAAACAACGCTCCCATTTCCGTGTCCATGTTGTTGTTTACAGTGAAGGCTGGTCTGCTGTTTTCTGGTAGCTTTAAAGCAGGGGTGGCCAATCCTGTTCCTGGAGAGCCACCTTCCTGCAGATTTCAGTTGCTACCCATATAAAACACACCTGAACTAAATTAATTAGGACCTGAACACTACGTGATAATTACAGGCAGGTGTGTTTGAGATGGGTTGCAACTGAAATCTGCAGGAAGGTGGCTCTCCAGGAACAGGGTTGGCCACCCCTGCTTTAAAGCCATGTGTTATAGTCATGTGATAGAGGCTAGACGAATAAGGGAAGGATACGCAATGAAACAAAAGCCCCTATAAGGTAGCGAATCTCAGCAGCCCCGCCTCTGTTTTCAGATGTCTCCGTTTTTCCCCATCCACACTGAGACGGAGCGGCAGCGTTTCAGAATGAAATCGGCCTCTCCAGCGTTTTTTAAATGGTCAGTTTTCGGCGCTTGAAAACTCCGGCGTAATGTGGATGGATGGCGTAACCAGGGGCACCTGCAGGATTTTATTCCAAGGTACGCACAAATCCTGGACCGCCCCGCCCCCTTCCGAAAATCATGTGAAAAACACTGATGCTTGCTGTCAAAGGCTGCATTATTCAAGGGCATTAGTTATGACATAACTTGTTTCCTTTTTAATTTTAATATTTCGCTGAAATCTAAATGTAATAAAAGCACATCAGCACCAAGGAAAAATCAGACGCTTAAGACGTAAATTTTAAAATTATGACATATTAAAAATGGCCAATATATGACAGAAAATTGTGATAAAATACAGTTAGTGAAGCATTAATTAAATCATTACGTTCCACTGACCGAAAATCATCCACTTGCACAGTTGAGTAGTGGACGGGTCAAACAAAAATAAAATTAGCATATTTTCTTGGAAAAAAAATTTATTTTTAAAACCAATTTTGTATATTGTTCGTCTCCTTGTTGAAATATTTTTCTTGGTCAGTTATCTTCTAGATACAATAGAAGAACCAATAACATCAGAAGTGAAGTGCTTCAAAACCCACAATATGCTTTAACAATGACGAACCACAAACTGAACTGTCAAATAAAATAATAATCTAGGCTAAATTAAATTAAAGTGAAATGTTCAGTTTCAGAGAAGCCTAAATTAATCTGTTTTCCCATGTTGCGCCGGTCAATTACAATTTAATTAATTTAATCAAATATTTTGAAAGAGCAGGACAGATGTTTACATATTCGCATCAGCACTGAACATTTACCTCGGTGGAACAAACTCGGTTGAAAGTGTGAAACACTTCAGAAACTCGTGAGAATGGAGATGTCTGCTTATTTATGCCACTCTGTCAGATAAAATAGTTTAAAACACCTTGAATGATTGCTGTTCCATGCGAGGAGGCTGCACAGCAGCTGGATCTGATCTGTCTGATGAACGAGACAGGTTCCCCGGCTCAGGTGCTGATAATGAGACTGCGGTCTCCACTACGTGTGGGATCAGTATTTGTCTCATTAGTTTTAGGCCTTTTGGCAAATGTCTCAATTAAGTTTAGCTGTTTTAAAGAGCGTTTCACTCATTTTAACCTTGTTTTAAAACAATACCTATCTGAATGGTGATTTTTAGGTGCGGAAAATCCAACAGTAAAACTAAAGCCAATAGATTTCTTTACTCATCTCCCACCATGCAAGTACATACACACTTTAAAACACACACCTTTATTTGTTGTCATTCTGTCTTGCTTTGTCAATATATCGTAGTGTATACTGTTTAATAATCAATTTAAATTATGTAATAAAAAAATTTAAAAAGTACAGCCGTACGCCTGCAGGCGCCACTGGGCGTAACCGTAGCAAAACTCATGCGTTTTAGTTTTAAAACGGTGTTTTAGAATGAAAACGATCCGCATTCACACTCGCATCTTACCAGGGTTTCTAAACTGCTCTCCGTCCACACCAAAACGCTGAAAACGCACATCACGTGACCACACACACACACACTCTCGGGCAAGCGTTGCAGCCCATCTACCCAGATGAGAGCTGTGCTAGTCGGACTTCTCATCAAGCATCACCCGCTGGATGTAAACTCACTATATTTGCTAAACGTGATATTTCATTCATCTTGTTGTCTTTATCTAACGACATATTCCCTGACTTTGGTCATTGGAATCTATTACTTGTTCTCAGGTAACGTGTTTTGGCTAAGCGCAAAGATAAGTTAATGATTAATGTAACCACGTAGCCTACATTCTGTATATTGACTGATCGCCTTTATTTCTATAATGTATAAACTTATTGTGTTATACTTTAATAATGGCCATTATCGATTATTAAAACTGATATTCAGCAAAAGAGAGGGTGTGTTTCGTATTTTTACTGAAATTGAAAGGAGGCAGTGTTGTTATCGGCTCCGTTTTGTTATAAATATTCACACAGTGAAGATGACGCTCATATATGCAGCACGACGCCTCAACATTTCTGCTGTCTGTTAACTTGCTAATATTAAAATGAAAATAGGCAGTTCCTTAAATCATGTTTACATTTTATTGTTGAGAAAGTGAAACAACGTAGCCAGGGTGAAGTGAATGAAGTTATAAAGTTCACTGTTCCCTTTAAAGATTTACGCGTGTCCTCGGTATAGTCTGTTTTCCATATCAAACTAAGAAGAAGAGACTGCAGTCTTGATCAAACTTGCGAAGTCTAAACTTACAAGGAGAGGATGCAGGACTGAACTGTGTGTGTTAGGCTACTTAATATTCAGGAAAAGCCCCAATCAGAGTGGCGAATGTCTGCAGCCCCGCCTCCGTTTTCAGATGTCTCTGTTTTCCATCATCCACACTGAGACGGAGCAGCAGCGTTTCAGAATGAAAACGGCCTCTCCAGCGTTTTCGAAACGCTCCGTTTTCGGCGCTCGAGAACTCCGGCGTAGTGTGGACGGATGGCGTAACCGTGGCAAAACTTATGCGCTTTCAAACTAAAACGCACTAGTGTAAACGGGGCCTCAGTCAGTCGACAGCAGCCTCTGGTGGATTCACGTGAGAACAGAGGTGGGAATAGCACTTGCGAGAGAGATTTGAGATCTGAAAAAGCGTACACAGCACCTCTGGTGGATTCCTGAAAACAAAAACTGCAAAAAAAAACAATCCTCCTGGGATGCGTTTGGCGCTCTCCAGGAAGATATACAGGGGTATGTATCAATAATAAGCCTGGGCTGAATAAAAAGCATCATAAAGAGAAACTCACCGCACTTCAGGAGCAGGTTTTCCTCTGATGATACAATCCAGCTGAACTTTACTGCCCTCAGCAACTTCCCTGCTCTTCAGCTTCTGTATAAACTGTGGCGGTTCACACTCCGGCTCCTCCAGACTTTCACTCTGCACCATATCCGTAGATTCACACACAGTTCCAGCAGCAGTCGGTTCCGGTTCCCGAGTGTCTTCCATTGTTTCCTCCATTGGCTGGATAACAGGCCGTTCCCGATCTTCAGCATTAACAGAGAATGAAGCTCCATCTGGCTGAGGTTTGTTCTGGTATCGGCTTCGGTGCGCTTTACAAGAGCGAGGACGGATTCTCTTTGAACTGTTGGCTTTAAAAAGCGAGGAAAGCTCTTCGATGAAGTCTGCGGCTTTATTGAGGAACTCTTTCTTGGATTGGGTCTCCATGCCGTACGGAGCCGTCCTCTGGGCTCGTTTAAAATCCGCCACGTTAGTCCTGTGGGTGTTTTCTTGAACTTTTTTTGGTGTACTTTCAATTTGGGGTTTAGCAGATTTCTGATCTCGTTCTTGTGGGTCGTCGCTGATTGCTTTGCAGGCCAGATCTACGCTTTTATCCAGCTCTTCTTGGTTCAGGAACGCTGAGAGGTCTGGGATTGGTGTGTCCAGTTTAGCGCAGGATTCTTGGTTTTTTTCTTTGAGCGTGCCGTAGACTAGACGGCGAGGCGGATCTGTGGATTCTCCGTGTCTGTGATGAGCTCGGGATTCGGCTAGGTAACTCTCTCTTAAGAGCTGTGATAATGATGTTGGCTGATCCATGCTGTTCTCCTGCATGAGTCTGAACACACACATTAACAACATTGAGTTAGAAAGAACTGAATTCGATCAGATGCAGAAAAACCAGACGCTTCTAAACCCTTGTGTGCTGTTGGGTCATTTTCATCCAATCTAGGGTGATTTTTTTTAGGCTTAATTTGGCCACAACCTTCTCTGAGTTTTAGTAAATGCAATGATTTTTGGTGACAAATCTTATTTTGACACAATTTTGGGAAAATGCTTTGAAAAAAAAAAACTTTACACACTCTGGGCAAATTGACCGCCCTTTGGTTATGTTGGGGGCTGTTTTTACCCCATTGACTTCCATTATAATCACATTTTTTGATTGCAAAGCCATGACAGTACTCTGTAAAAATGCTGGGTTCCACACAATTCCTTCATGTTGTCCTAACGCAAATTGATTAAGTTAACTTAATGATTTTTACAAATTAATTGTCAGGGTTCTGCCACTCTGGTCTTGTAAATTCTTGTTTTGGAGGCAGAGTCCGGACACTAGCTCTGTCTGGTCCTGTTTCTGTCCCGTTTTGATGCGGCCGCGCGGGCTCTGCGTGCCTCGGACGCGCGCGCTATTGTACTCGTGTTTGTGTTTTCGTCTGTCTGCAGCGTGGTGTTTCATTCCCAGCGTCTCAGTGGTTGGTTTCGGTTTTGGTCGGCGCTGGGATGAAGCATGCACAATGCGTGTGTGAGCGCACGGTGAGTGTTTTCATTCATCGTGTGCTCGTGTCTTGCATCTGTTGTCAATGCACGTGGGTCTGTGTTTACATTGTGCTTTTGTCGTGTGCTTCAGTGTTGTGCTTGTGTTGTTATGAACACGTAGTTAATGAGTTCTCTCATTGGCTGCTTGTTCTAGTCTCGTTTTATTGTGTTGTCTCTGTGTCATGCGCTCCCCCGTCTATTGTCTTGTCCCACCCACCTTGTTATCCTGTTTGTAATTATTATTTCCACCTGTCCGACTGTCTGTTTATTGGTTTGTCTTTCCTATTTATTCTCCTAGTGTGCTCTGTTCTGTGCTGGGGCCTGTTTCAGTAAGGAGGTTCAAACAACTCAGAGTTTAAACTTGAACTCTGAGTTGATTTACCGAGAGATTAAAAACTCAGAGTTTTCGGTTTCAGAATAGCAGATCTGAGTTGGGTCAATCAACTTCGAGTAGACCAACTCAGAGTTAAGCGCGCACACCGTGACTTTAAAAAGGCATTATCAATGGAGCGCAGACATTACGAGTGACTATGGCAACATCTTATAAAAGAGATCACTATTTCTTTCTCCAGCTGAACTTGATGTTCTCATGCAAAGTTATAGCAAATATGAGCGTATATATTTGAAAAGAAGCAACCATCAGTGAAGAAGAGACAGTTAGCGTGGGAAAACAGCTGCTCAAGTCAATGCCTAATTTCACTTTTTAAGTATTTAAATATTTTAGTATAATAAAATAAGTAATATAATTTGTGACGTTTATATATTTTTTCTAAACTTTTTTTTATACATTTATTAGTTTTAAATGATTTAACAGTGCACTTGTGTGTCTGCCTTTATTATTGATCAAGTGATAGAGGTTAATATAACATTTAGAAGGTAAGCAGTACTAAAAATAATTTTTAGAAAGAATAATAATCCCATTAATCTAGTTACATGCATGTCGTAGGTGAATTTAATTAAATTATTTATTAAAAAAGGATAAGCCATTCTAGTACAGTTCTTCCCTGTGTGACTAAAATGTAGGCAATAGCTATGTTTCCATCCAAATATATTACATAAATGTATGTGCAAAACTGGAATATTGCATAAAAGATGCGAATAAAATTCCATCCAACGAGTCAAAGAGAAAAAAAATCGTCACTTTCTGATTAAACTGGCACCAAATATCAACAGTAAAAACAGAATTTACTGTGGTAGAAGAAGCTGCGCCAATTAATTCTTTATTTAGCCTAATTAATGTACTTGCGCCTCGATGTCAGAAGACAACGCTGAAACACAATGAACACGTGGGGGCGTCTGAAGCCATGAGACGCGGAGACTCACGCACCAGACATTCGGAGGTAATTAATATACACTAATACTGAAACAGTTAAGGCATTTTAGAATGACTAAAACAATATTTAAGACGTGTTACAGTGTGCTGAGCCTGCTGGTTTGTTCATTTACACACATTCATTATCATATGATCATGATCTTTTTTTTAATGTACATACTGTAATTTGTTCAGTAAAAGTGTTTACATCGTAGTTTATGCGCACATTTTCTATCGAATAAAAGTTTATCCTACTCAGTTATGCGCGTTTTTATGCATATTTTAAAAAGTTATGTGCATCATGACATTTCTATCAATCGTTTTTATGCACGTATACAAAATGAGCATTAAAATAGGTGGGTGGAAACGTAAGGCTAAGGCGAGAAATACCGCTTCATCTTTAAAAAAGAGGAGGAGACCGACAGAAACTCTGAGTTTAGAGAATAAAACCTGCTTCTGACCAGGTTAGATTCACAGAGTAAGTTACCACAGTAACTGACTCTGAGTTAAAGTTACCTTTCTTTCAGAAACAGGCTTGACTTACCCTGCTTTCTCGAGTTTAACAAACCTGCCATTTTGAAACGGAAAACCCAGAGTTTCTCTCATTTCAGGGTTAAAATACTCTGAGTTTTCACTTAACCTCCTTTCTGAAACAGGCCCCAGGTCCGTTGTTGATTGTTTCTTTCCCTGTTGTATGAGGTCTGCTGATTTCTGTTCTACAACAGTGGTTTAAAGTAGTGTGTCTTGCCAAGTTCCAGATCAAGTCTAGTTGAGTGTATAATATAATGTTGTGTTTTTCCCCACATGGGGAGATTTGAGTTTTGTTGTTTTATTTTTCAATAAATTCTTCATTTCCTGCATTTGGGTCCTTGCCTCCTCTCCATCCACCCCCATACCGTGACATTTATGTTCACTGAACATAAAACATTCAAGCTATCCCACAAAAACCCTCAAAAATTGTGTTGATCAAACCCATTATAAATAAGTTGTTTGGACAAGTAGAAAAAAAGTCATTATTTTGAGTGTAGGGCTAGGCGATATTATATTAAACGATATTATATTAAATCAGGATAAAATGTCAAGACCAATCCTAAGCTCTGGACTTTTTTTACTCTATATCGATCTAAGAGCCAATCACACAGCAGAAATGTGCAACAATGGAAATATAAAAGTTTGTTGATGTTAGAGATGCCACCGACAATTCATTCATTCATTTTCTTGTCGGCTTAGTCCCTTTATTAATCCGGGGTCGCCACAGTGGAATGAAAGTTTTTACACAGCGGATGCCCTTCCAGCTGCAACCCATCTCTGGGAAACATCCACACACACACTCATATACTACGGACAATTTACCCTACCCAATTCACCTGTACCACATGTGTTTGGACTGTTGGGGAAACCGGAGCACCCAGAGGAAACCCACACGAAAGCAGGGAGAACATGCAAACTCCACACAGAAACGCCAACTGAGCCAAGGCTCGAACCAGCGACCTTCTTGCTGTGAGGCGACAGCACTACCTACTGCGCCACTGCTTTGCCTGCCACCGACAATTTATCAGCTGAAAATATCGACCACTTGGTTTGCTAACTTTTTGTCCAACAAAACAAAGTGTTTCCATATGGCCGGTTTATCTTTAGAGGTGCCCAAAGGAGTGACGTAAGGATCGATATTAGGGCTTATGTTATTTTTTACTTTCCTTCTTAATTATGCGACAACCTTTCCAATGCCTTTTATCATCTGTATGCTGATAATTAAAGTGATTTATTGTTGCTCTCCTTCACTTGTTCAGCCCGTACAATCTTTACAGTCTGCTTTTAATAAATATCTCGTCTTCAGGATCTAAAATTGGTTTTAAATGTAGATAAATCTCAATGAATGATTTTCGCAAATTTTCCCACTCCTGTGCAGAACCAACCATTAATTACCACTGCCCAAGATGAACAAATCAATATGAGCAAATGTGCATTTTTGCCATATCGCCCAGCCCTACATGACAGCTTATAAGCATGCATTCTTAATAGTTGCTGGTTTTCCCTGTTGGGATTAAGAGGTACAATTTTTAATTGTTATTGTTGATCATCAGTTACAGTGCAAACAAGCTTAGCTTCTGCCTTTTATATGGAGTATAATGTGTGTGTGTGTGAGGAAGAGACATTTGCGCACTTACCTTGATATGTCTGAGGAAATGAAATGCCCCCCTCAGCTCTCAGAACACAGTAAACACAGTAAGTGTATTTCTGCACACACACTATACTCTGCTGTTTTACTCCACTGAACTCCATATATCCTCCCGAGACCCCGCTCATTGACTTGTGTCCTCTGTAGTGGACATTGCGTTTTCATGAATTTTCTTTGATTTTTTTGAGCTAAAGGTAGGTAAAATTGAGCTTTTTAAATGTGTTTTTACAATCATTATTACATATATATTTGTTTATTAAAGTGTCAGGAACAATACATTTAGCTTTCAAAGCTGTTAGCTTGTTTGTGTTTCAAAATATCCTCATTTAAATGTCCACTGTAGTGGACACCAGGACCATCTTAATGTAGTTAATGACTGCATGTTGTAGGAGGCAGAGCTGAAGCAGAGAGGATTGTTTATAAAATAGTTGAGGGAGACTCTGATTTACAGTCAGACAATCAGAAAATTAGAGACAATTAGAAAATGACAATCAGCTTTAAATCACTTTTATGATGAGTTTGTTTTGGATAAGCATCACTTCTTTTTTCTTCTTTTTTTAGTTCGGCTCTCTTTCAGACTAAACTGTTTCAGGAATTTCAATACAAAAAGAAAAATGGCTTTGTTTTGTTTTTGTTACATTAATATTGGATTAATATCCCTTTACAGCCATATCCTTTACAGTTTTGTAGTCTGAGTGGCGGTTGTTTCGAACTAAAATGGTCCTGTGGTCCAATACAGTGGACATGCTGTAAAACAAATGTAAAACAAAATGTAAACTCTATATTATAGATTTTTTTTTTTACTCAAAGGATT